CATTAACAAACAAATAAAAATTCAGGGAAATTGTGCTAATTTCAAATTCATCCCTATCTCTTAATCAAAAACTGAGCTTCCTCCAGCAGCCCAAGATCTCCCTTCATTAACATCCCAAAAGAGAGCGCTCCTGCCACCCCAACAGACACCCTTTCCTAACTGATAATCACAGACTGGCATCACACCGAGCATGAGAGCATGGCAAACCACATATTATGAAACCCCAGGGATTTCACAGCATCCAAGAGCCAGGTTCAGAGCAGGCTAAAGCGTCCCTTGTGTCCCCTCCCGAGCCACAACATATGTCTGTGTCTGCAGAAAAGGTCACCACGGCTCTGAAACCTGAAGGTCCGGGAGGTTCGCAGGAGTCACCAGCAGTGCTCACCACAGAGAAAGAAAATAGTTGGCCTAAAAACAAATGCAGGAAGAGCATGCATTCAACAGAATAGATTAAAGGTGGCTGCTCGACAGAGGGATTGAACAAAATAATTGCAGAATGGATGCGACAACAATGGTACAGAAGTAGCTGCTGTTTGGTTTTCTAGTTTAAGGTGTTCTGTGCAGGCGCCTTTGCGTGCTGGCAAAAGGATCTGATGTGCATCAGACACCAGCAATAAGAAAAAACAGATTCACGGAAAAGTTTTGACTGTTGCAGAATTATTCTTTTTTAAACAAGCTTGATACCCTGCACACGCTCAGCCCCCTCACTGCAAGGATAACTGCACCTAAGGGGTTCATGATCCTTCATTAAAGCACAGAGAAATCACTTGTATCGTTGCAGGCTCTCCAGCATGATAAAAAGCCAACTGCAACGATTAATATGTATCACAGATTCCCTGATGTAAAAAGTTTCGAGACACACAGTTTCTTCCCGCAGTCACTCTGACTTAACAGCAAGATTTTTACAGTTATGAGCTACTTTTTACCCCCAAACCACTCTGCAAACCAGAGGCAATCTTACGCCTGCTGAAATGTGTCACTTGCAGACAGTCAGCAAGGGCAAAAGAAGAAATTTCTGCAGCTTCACAGGGAGTTTTGCTTTGGCAGAATGGGTAACACAAAATGTGGATTTTGCTAAGGTTATTGTGTATTTTTGGTAAGGATCTGCAGCATTCAGTGACAGCCTCTTGCTTCTACACCTCTGGTACAAGAAGGCAGCCCAGCAGCAGGACATCTCCTAACATCGTCCCTTCACAACCAACTCAAATAAAAGCATCCTTTCACCAAACACAACTTGCTGTGGAGAGCTGGGGTACCCTTAAACACATCTCAGAGCACTGACGAGGCTGTCGCCACTGATCTGAGGTTTGACAAGACTAGCAGCACATCAATATTAACCTAATGAGGAGCCCCAAATAAATACAAGTAACTCTACCAACTTAACTTTAAGCCTTCAAAACCCCACATCATCACAAAACATGCACAGGCACAGAACAAAATAAGCCAGACAAATGTTTCAAAATGAGTCTGAAACATCTGAAGAGATACAGCATGTCTGGGCTGCAAATCACTGTTGCCTGAACATTGTTAAGTCACAGATGTTTCAGTAGGTGTTCAGCTAGCAAAGATAAATATTTTAAAAATTGCCATAGAAATGGGGAAGCGAATACAGTCCACAGCACAGTCTGATGTGAATTAAAAGCTCTAGGAGAACATTTGCAGCTCTTGAAATAGCAAGCTCCTGAAGGCAAGATCCACATTTTCTGCATCTTGATCAACACAAGCCACAATTTTCGATGAGGATGTGTCACCCCACTCTCCTTTAATCTGAGACACAAGCAAGTTCAAAAGGGATTTTGACCTGAATTTCTAAACTACATCAAAAAGCTGCATTAGCTGTTAATGGCAGCAGAGCCCAGCTACCTTGATGCATCTCTCGGGGACATCACGAACTGCAGACAGTCCCACTCAAGTCAGAAAACATACTCCAAAAGGAGCTCTTACCGGGAGAAACACCCATCGAGCATGTTATCAGGGCCACCAGAGTCCTCTTTTCAAAGGCTTTTATCTAGATTTGGACCAAATCTGAGCCCAGCCCTGGCTTTAACACCTTTCATAAGCCCTCAAAGACATCCTCACAAGACGCTGCATTTCAAAAGCCCAAGGGCTTGAAGGTTATTTATGTTCAACCTTTAGAAAATTTATTAGCGCAAAATCTGAATCGATGTTTTACAACAAAGCCTGCCATGACTAAATACACAGGGAAAAATAACTTCCCTCAGAAGGCACAGCTCTGTTTACACAGAAAGTGGGAAGCCTTTTCCAGCAGCACTCGCTCACATCCTGTGGAAGTGGCTGGAATTGGCAGCAGGCAAAGCAGGCTGCACTGAAACCCAACGCCTTTTTGAAGCCCTGAAAACAGACCTTTACAAATCACTCGTGTGCTGGGAATGCACAAAGAACAGACCATGCCCATCTTCCTACCCCAAGGCTACAGCTGGTGTCACTCCTGTTAAAGGTGAAGATATATATACACTAAATGTCCTGAGATTAAGGACAGGGCAGTTGAGCACATCCTCACTATCCTTGGGAACAAACACTCCCCTCCAGAAGGCGCCTGATGCAGCAGCTAGCAATACCGGTGACTTGAAATCCCCAAGTCAAAGATAACACACGTTCAACAGCGGCAATAAACCATCCTAATCTTTATACCAACCACAGGCAGGATGGTAACATTTGTTCTGCAGGCGAGATTTCTTCTAGGCCTTCTCCAACAGCCAAATACAGAGAAAATTTGAGTCCCAGAGACTAAAGGCTCTAGTAAACTCAAATTAAAAATGCCAAATTACACATACTGCCCTTAGAAGTCCACGAGAGAAAACTAGCGCTATATTAAAACCATACTGTGTCTTTCAAACCCAAGTGCTTCACTTGCCACCATGGAAAAAATGCTGCTCGGGCGGAGTCACCCATCAGTTAAAATACCAGGTAATACAGCAGGAAAAACACGCACAAGCATCTTCATTATGCGAAAACAACTGCTGGATGCGATTCTGCTTCTGCTAGAAGCATGCAGATACAAAAGCCCTAGTGAACAGGATTGAACCCAATGCAGAAACAACTGCAATTTTGCCCTCTGAAAGCGAGGCATCATCCTGTCTTGGAAATATCACAGAATCCTGCCCAAGATCTTGATCTCTTTCTCCCAATTCTGACACCAGAGAAAGACCAACCACAGGCAAACCTGAGGGACACAACCTAAGGGAAAGCCACCGGTATTCAGCCTTTCTCTGACACGAGCATAAGGAAAAGGAAGGAGAGATGATGGTGGGAACACACATGGCTACGGAAATGAGGCAATAGCAGCGAGTCTCTTAACTCTTGAATTAACATCCCGCTCAGAGATTTGGCTCTCTAGAAGGGCCAAGCCTGAGCTGGGACTGCTGTGCTGTGATATAAAGCAGTTCATTAGGACACTGCAGCTTCATCACCAAATCAGGGCTTCACGAGGCCACCTGCAAGGCAGAGGATCGATTCAGGCTTTGGGCTCCATCGCTCTTGAAGGGCAGGCTGGCTAAAGACATTGTTACACCCAGGTTACAAATTTAGGTCAGCGGCACCTCAAGTGTAATTTATTTTAATTCATGTCCCCTTTAGTAAAGGGGATGACTTCCAGCTGCTGACCTGAAGCATGAGCCAGAATCACCAGTGATAATTAAAACTATTTTAATACAAACAACATCCCCAGTGATCAACTGGGTTATCTTACAAACAGAAGACTAACAAACTGATTCACCATACTGCAGACAAGCATTTCAGTTTGCATGACTTCTCTTTTGTTCTTCCTCTGAGCATTAATTAGAGTTTAGATTATTAAGAGCAAGATACTAAGACTCTGCTCCTGCTCTTGTGGCTCCTAAGAAATTCCCTGCCCTATTTGAAAACCCAAACAGGCTTGAAGCAAGACACTTCACCCCGGAGAGGTTTGGCCAGCATCTTGAAGGCAGCATGAGATAATCCCCCCGCGTGAGACCTGCATATCAAGACGAGTCCCTGCAGTGTCTGCTCAGACCAGCCCCGTTGTGACAAAAAAATATAACAATAAAGCAAGCCATTCTCAAATCACCAACAAGAGATTAGCAGTGAAGACAATGGGGAGTAATACCCTAAACCCTGTCGGGCTGATTAACACCAAACTTGCCACCACTACTGATTTAACACAACACTTTCAGGACCAAAACAAATACATACACACACATAAGGTGAGCAGCACGCGAGGCACGAACGCAGATGTGAGTCGGGATGTGGATTCACAGAGTTATTTGGAGAATAACTGGAGACTGAGCCTCACCTTTGTTTTTATACGTAGGAGACGTGAGCCTTCGGGGCAGCCACAGCACCCCGCAGCCTCCACACAGCCGGCAGCACCCGTCGTGTCCCCCGTCCCCCCCCAACAACTTACACCTTGGCACTGCCCAATGCCAGTGATGATTTTGGGGGGGAAACCTGGACTTTTGGGGAAGGGCAGGTTTTGCCCACCCCCAGCACGAAGGAAGACCCGGGTCTGTCTTCACCTTGTCCCCCTGTCCTGGGGCTGCTGCTGCTGCCCTTCGCGGGCAGGTAAGGGGCCTCCCCACCCTCACAGGGACAAGCAGCCCTCGGGGGGTAGGGGGACAAAACCCCAGTGGCTCTGCCCTCAACAGGAAACACCCCCCAAAAAGAGGTAAAGGGGGAAAAGAGGAGCTCAACTCCCCCCCGCTCAAGCCCTCAAACGAGGGGTCCACTCCAGGCGAGGCCTGTCCCGCCTTAAGGGGCCTGGTGGGCCGGGCCCGCCGCCCCGCTCCCCAGGGAAGGGACGCTGCTCCCCGCCGCTCCCATCCCTCCCCGCCCCGGGAAGCCGCACCGCGGGGTCGCTCACCTGCCGCCGGCCACCGCCCGCCGCGGCTGGGCCGGGCCCTCAGAGCTGCAGGTGCCGGGGCCGCCGCGTCGCCCGGGTGACGGCTC